ATATTCTAGGGATAAGAATATTGAGAGATAGAAGTAGGAGACTAATAGGACTTAGTCAAAGTACTTACTTGGACAAGGTGCTGAAACATTTTAGAATGGAGAATTCTAAGAAAGGGGAACTGCCAATCCAAAGCAATACCAAGCTGAGTAAGACTCAGAGCCCGAGTACCGAAGCCGAGATAGCAGAAATGAGTCGAGTGCCATATGCTTCCGCCATTGGCTCGATCATGTACGCTATGACATGTACTCGTCCTGATGTGGCTTTCGCATTGAGCATGGTCAGTCGATATCAAGGGAACTCGGGCAGAGCTCATTGGATAGCAGTTAAGAACATTCTTATGTACCTGCAAAGGACTAAGGATTGGGTCCTTACACTTGGTGGGAGTGATGACTTGAGAGTGACAGGGTATAGTGACGCCAACTTTCAGACCGATAGAGATAACTTCCACTCTCAGTCGGGCTGGGTATTTACCCTAAATGGAGGAGCGATTACTTGGAAATGTTCCAAGCAGGAGACTGTGGCTGATTCAACGTGCGAATCAGTGTACATTGCAGCAAACGAAGCGTCGAAGGATGAAATATGGTTGAAGAACTTCATTGGAGACCTCAGAGTTGTACCATCCATAAAGGAGCCTATGGAGACTTTCTGTGATAATGAAGGAGCGGTTGCCTTTACCAAGGAACCGAGGGATCATGGTAGATCCAGACACATCGAAAGAAAATACCCCTTCATCATACATCGGGTAGAAGAGGGACACCTCGTAGTCAAGAGGGTATTATCAGAGGAGAACCCAACAGATCCTCTCACAAAGGGTCTGAGCAGGGTTAAACACTTACATCATGCTAGGAGCATTGGTCTGAAGGATGATATTAGTTTTAGTGATTAGATAAATGTATAGAAACTTGTAATAGATAAATGTGATTGACATTTGATGATTAAGTAATGGAGATTTATTTATGAGTAAAGTTTACTATCTTGTGTCAATTGTTTACTGTTGTTTCACTTTTGCATGTTTTACTTCCAGAATAATTAGATTTTTCAAATTATCCACACTCGATCATACTTTGGGAGTAAGTTATGAGGTTAGACTGTCATGAATTGGTTTGTAGATTGTCTAAGTGTTTAGACATAGCAAAAGTTTGTTGCAACGTTCATGAGTACTTCTGAAATAATATTTAGGTATTGGATTAAACCCATGCTCATGTGAATCACTTCATGGAATTTATCACGAGTGATTGTGACATGATAATATCGTATAATCTTTAAACCGAGATATATGAGTTGTTGTTTGCAAGTTGGTTGTGCACTGATAATGCGTAAACGCATCAGTAACTTGATGTTATAAAATGTGTTGTTGTATACAATTTGATGAGTAAATAGTACAATCATATAAGTCAAAGTTTATCTGTTCCTTTTATCCTAAGAGGGTAAAAGCGATATCTTAGGCCCCTCGATGATTTTGTGTTGACTTATGTGTCGGGCCCGGTTAGGACTGAATTGATGTGTTCAATTAAGTTCTACGTCAAACAAATCGGAAGTCGGGAAACAAACTGTTGGACATAAAGAATGATTATGTTCCATGTCTTTTTCCAGATGATATCTTGCAGAACGGAGGATTATATGATCCCTTATCTAAAGAACGCGTCATTGACTAGGTCAGAGTTCGACAAAGGCTTGTGAGAGCTATGATTGCTAATCGGATTTTGAAGTGATACTTGCAGTTATAGTTATTATAATTATCCAAGTGGGAAACTGTTAGATTAGGTGTCTAAGCCCATAACTATAATTGGTATGTACTTGACCCGATAGTAGCATGGTCCTTTCGGGTTGCCTTCACCATAGCAACTTCACTGGTTGAATTACGAGAAAGAGGTTGATAAATGATTTATTAATATATTATAAGAATAATATATTAATTGAGAAATCATATTATTTAATTATTATTGATCATAAATTAATTTGGAATTAATTTGGTGATCAAAAGACACTGATTAATTGAACGGGGACTGATATTGCAATTAACTGTTAGTTGCAAGTTGGGTTGTGGACTCCTAATAGAAGGAGGTGGACGAATTCTATGGGAAACCCATAGGAGAATTCGTCCATAGGGCCTTCTGGAAGGATTCCATAGGTTCCTGCCTATAACCGAAGATCAATCTTGGAAAACCAAGATGCACCCTGCAGCTGATCGAACAAATCATCAATCCTCGGAAGCGGATAACGGTTCTTCACCCTCAGCTTGTTCATCTCCTGATAATCAATACACATCCAAAGTGATCCATCCTTCTTTTTCACGAACAGGATTGGTGCTCCCCATGGGGAATTGCTCGGACGAATGAATCCCCGGTCTAGCAGCTCCTGAAGCTGCGTAGAAAACTCCTACATCTCAGCCGGAGCTAGATGATATGGCGCCTTGGCTATCGGAGCCGCACCAGGAACTAAATCGATACGAGACTCTACTTGCCTCTCGGGAGGCACCCCAGGCAATTCCTTTGGAAATACATCTAGAAAATCCCACAAAATCGGTACCCTGCTCATATCTGGCGTGGCCTCTACCCTCGTATTCGAAACATAATCCAAAAACCCAGAACAACCCTGCTTAAGGAGTCTCCTAGACCTCACATCCGAACAAAGAGCTACTCATGCGAGGCTCTCTCTCCATGAATAACCAGTTCTCCCCCACTTGGGGTTCGAAATCTCACCAACTGATGCTCGCAATCTATCATGGCTCCATGGGGCCCCAACCAATCCATTTCGATGATCACCTACAATCCACACAAAGGAATCAAAACTACTAGAAAACAACCCTTTAATGACGCGCAAACAATGACACACGCTGATAGAGGACACGTATTTGTGCGTGCCCTAAAAAATAATGTCAGTTTTGCAAAATATGAAGGATAGAGGACATGCATTTGTGCGTACCCTAAAATTAGTGTCAGAAAAGAAAAAAAATGAAAATGTGGAGGGCGCCTTTCATAAAATGTGTGTCATCTAAATTTGTCGCTTTATAATTTTTTTAATGAAACACGCGTTTTAAGCGGGGAAATGAAATACCCCAAATTTTTTAAGTCCCCTCCCTTCGTCTTCCTCCCTCCGTAAATAACTTGTACTGATTCTCTTCTAAAATCTCCGGAAACCCTACCATTTCTCTTTATTGACCCTCCATCATCTCACGTTCATCTTCAAAAACAACTTCATCGGAAAAATGCAACCTGTAATGGCTGTGAAGAAGACCAATTGGTTCGACTTCTCCCCTAAAACCTGGTACAACTTCTCCTCAATTCGACTTCACTCTTCAATCTTCACGCGATTGACTGGTTTTTCACTCTTAAACCCCAAACCCTACATTGATTTTACAGACAGAGAAACATATAAGTGTTGTCGGCTACTGTGCTCCATTATTACCACACGGTGTTCTGGATTTGTTAGGGCTCGTTTCATCTGTTCATTGCCTCCCTACCACAAGAGATTTTATAGTTCTTCCCAAATATACCCCCTTCATTCATCTTTTCTATCAACATCGTATGCCACCAACGTTCCCTTAAAGGTGACTTCATTTTTGATTTTTGATAATGTGAGCCCTAATTTGTATCTTGCTTTAACTTTTCTATCAACATCGTATGGTTTGATTAGTATAAGTGTTTTCTCTAATTTGGTAGATTTGCAGTTGCAGACCAACTGTTTGTTTAAATGCCTGCACACCACTTTAGTGAAAAAGGAAGTGCATAGCACAGACATCTGGTAGCTCATATTATTGACTATTTATATGTGTGTAGTAGGATTATGAATATTCTTCCAATCAATATCACGTTCATACTGGTGGTTTCAATTCAAGGAGCTTATGAAGATTCTGTTGTAGATCATTTGGTGATGGAACTTTGTGCTGAAGTTGAGTTCTTTGATAGGATTACCACAAAAGGGCACCGTTCAGAAAGAAAAGAAACTGATCTTTATAAAAAAATTTGTTGGTTTGACTGAAGCTTGTCATTCTTTGGGAGTAACACATCGTGATCTTAGACCTGAAAACTTTATTTTTTTTGATATACATGAAGATTCGCCTCTTAAAATCATATATTTTGGACTATCAGTTTTCTTTAAACTAGGTACCTGGAACATTACAGATGAAGAAGATGTCCCATGTGGCCCACATTGTTATCTCCAGGTAATTGTTATTTCTCCCCATTTTTTTAACATTACATAGGTATTAGAGTATGAAAAATCGTCTAGAGTATGAAAAAAATAATGTTTTTAAGTAATTTATTACAAACAATAATCCTACTGAAAGTTTTTCATTGGATAATATGCAAAACACGAGTTTCTTGACTCATTTAGACTTCCACAGACCCTCTGTTTTGTGAATTACAGAAAAAGAAATATGATATTTATTTTTCCAAAAGTCAAAAAGGCTAAATTGGAAAATGTATGAAGCTTTAATAGGTTGTTATATCCGAAAAGTTTGACATGGAAGGAAAGGAACATGGGCCTTTGAATTGGGAAATGAGGATGAAGATTGCTTTAGGATCTGCAAAAGTATTAGCATATTTGCATGAGGACCATGAGTATTCTTATTTTGTTGCTTTATTTAATCATATGATTAACATTATGCATCTTGGCTCTAGTGATTTACTCATATGGATGTCATTTTTTTTACTGTAGGTAATTAAAAAGATCATGAAGTTGGATACAGCTGATCAGTTTAACAGACCTGCAGATCCAGTCAAACTTGCAATTCCTATAAGCATTTCTTTTTATTTCTTTCTACAAATATTTTCTTCTGTTGTGCATTATTGAATATTATATTCTTATAGTGATTTGGGTGGATTTTGAACCAGGATTATCTAGATGTGATCGATACACCAATGGATTTTGGTACAATATGTAGCAATTTTGAAATGTCCTAAAGTACATGAATTTAACAGATGTGTTAGTAGATGTAGAATGCATTTGGTATAATGGTGTCAAATATAATGACAAAGGTGATTACATTTTGGAGCTCATGAAGCACATGAAGCCGCCCTTCATGAAGCACCAGAAAGCAGCCGAATTACAAACCGGACAATCACCCCTACTATTGGTAAGGGCACATATTGTTATCATTAACTTTTTGGTTTTATGAAATCATGACACCATTTTCAATTTAAGATTTCACTTTTCTGAGGAATAGAGTCATCTATCTAGAAAGAAAACGACCACCCACTGTCCCCACCTACCAATAATGTCAGCCTCCCACCTCAAAACGAGGCTGGCATTATTGGTAGGTGGGGACAGTGGGTGGTCGTTTTCTTTCTAGATATATGACTCTATTCCTCAGACTACATACATGTTTTTATAAGGTCTGGCCCAAATCTTGCTATTAGAGCTCAGTTTATTACACCACAATTTGAGATGAGAACTTAAATTCACTATATTCAGCGTTTACCCATAATTATTGAGAGTGGTATTTATTGTACATTGTTCTTCAATCTGATCTGCAACATGGGCGAGATCTAACTGGGAAGCTTGATACCCAAATCAGTAAATACTGTAAATGCAAATCACTTTAGTAGTGGGAAGGAAAGAACAATCATTTGGACTAGTAGTAAACGTCTTTTATAATAGCCTTTAATGGATTTATCTTACCTTGTTCGTTGCCCTGTCTCGTACCCTAAACGGAAAACTAACAAGGTGATTTTCACATATTTTATCCCTCAATGACGATAGAGTAGTAGTTTAACTCAAATTTCGTGGTTATTAATCTGAGTAGAGTCTGTTGTTCATATAATTAAAGCTCGCTGTTGATGATTTCATTGTTTTTAAGACTTAATCAGCTAAATTAATCATGGATGTTTCAGGACCAAATTCCAAGATTAACTGAAACGGAAACATCGCCATTTACACAGTTCATAATGTGGTCATTGAGTGGATCCAGATATTCTGGTTTGGTATGCATGGCCTTATCGTCTTCTGTCTATTGTATCATGACTATTCTTTCTAATTTGTTCTCTGGTTAGTAATTTACTTTTATGTATTGCTAGAAAAGTGAAATGCATATTTGATTTCGTACATATTAGAATTCCGTATCCATGAATCATGATAACATCATTCATGTGGTTAAGAAGAACCTCACAGCCATTATTTGGACCTGTAAATGTCAGGAGTCTATTTGTTTCAAGAGCTGTTACTGGCTCTATTTCTTTGATAACTTTCATCTACTGGTAATAACTTTCGTCATTGTTCATCATAGTGCAAAAGATGTCACATATCTAAATGACACTTCTCTTTTACAACATTCAGAGATTACCATTGTCTCAAGCCATGCTCTTGAGCTTTACAATTCCATTAATGGCTTCAATATCTGTAGGATTCATTCTTCATGAGAATTTTAAAATTGAAGAAATAGCAGGTAAAGTAACAATTACATAATGAAAAAACACAAAACCTGATTGTGAATAACTGACATCTTCTCTCTCAGGAATTGCTTCAAGTTTCTTTGGTGTAATCTTCATCATCAGTTCAATGGTCAGCGTGCAAGGTACAGAAGTGAGTTAATAAATCCTTTTGGATCTTTTATTGTTATGAAACTATGAAAGATCAAAAAGACATTTATACCCTTTTACATAACTTATATCTCTACGATCTTGTGTAGGGAGGTCAACAAGTAGATGAAGTACATTATTTTTATGTGTTTTTGATTGGTTTATTATCATCATTGACTGGTGGAATGAGCTACTGTTTTATAAGGGCTGGAGCTAAACAGTCTGATCAACCTGTGTAAATACTAAAATAAGCAATCAACTTTCAACATATTTATCTAAACAAATTTTCTATTTTCTATTTTTATTTTTTTATTTCAGGGTCACTATATTTTCCTTTGGTTTAGTCTCTACTCCTGCTGCAACAATATGCATGATCACATTTGAAGTAAGATATTCATTTTATAAAAAAATTATATGATTTTGATATTTTCTAAAGGGCAATTACCAGAAAAAAAACCATTATATTTCTAAATGCAACTTATATCTTTAATTGTTTTTTTCTTGCAGGATTTTGTGTTGCCTAGCTTCTATTCTTTCCTTCTTATGATTATACTTGCCATACTGGCGTTTGTTGCTGAGGTGGAATTTTGATTAAATTATGTTTTTTCATTGATTTTATTTTTGCCTTCAAATTTTATATCTGAAAATATGACTTAATCAGGTTATCTGACATCTATTATGTTATGTTAATCAAGTTATCTGTAATCAATTAATCATGTTAGATGTTTTACACTCTAAATCTGTAGTTGTGCACAATCCGCTTGATTATCTAATTCTATTGACTTGTGTAGTGATGTATTGTAGTCTACTAATCTATTATGATATAATCTTATTTTACAGAATGGGTTCTACCCTTTGATGCCTTTAACAACACTCCTTGTTTGTTGCCTTCATGGATATCACAAGCATCTACTCACCAAGTAAGTTACCTTTTTACCCTTTGACTTTGTTGGTCAAGGTAGTTGACTAATTTCTATGTTGCTTTTTTTGTTGGTTTAAAGAAGGGGTAGGGAAGGGGACCAGGGGAACTCCTTTAAATTCTCTTTGTTTGCAAATAAAAAGTTTGGAAGTTGGAAGTATCGGAGAGTTTTTATCAGCTGCTTTGCAGCCTCAGAGCCATTAGCTGTAAGTGTTAACTGTTCTTGATGACTTGAATCTTAATGAACGATTCAAATTGCTAAATGATAGAAGTTTAATTTGTTCTAGGTCCAAAATGCTGTGAATCTTACACATCTTGGTTAGTTTATATTAATATATTTATAAAACTTTATTTCCTAAGATTATCTTTTCTTATTTTTTTAAAATATAGGTAAATATATGGCAATACTTCCATTGGATCCGAAATTAGGGAAAATGCTGATAATGGGTGCTTTTTTTCCGTTGCTTTGATCCTATTCTTACAATTGTTGCTGGACTTAGTGTCAGGGATTTTTTTCTTTTGCCTCAAGAGAAGAAAGACGTGAGTAATCCAACTACTTTCACACAAGGGCATTTTGGTCTTTTCCTGATATCTTTTGTATGTCTATTTCAGCAAGCTAGTACAGCAAAATCAAGATTTTCTGCAAAGGATTACATTGATCATATGGCACTTGTGCGTGCATATGAAGGATGGAAAGAAGTTGAAAGAGAAGGATCTGCTTATGAATATTGCTGGAGGAATTTCCTTTCTGCTCAAACACTTCAAGCTATACATTCTTTAAGGAATCAGTTTATCCATATTTTGAAAGATGCTCAATTACGTGAGACTAAATCAGGGATTAACAACAGACTGAGTCATAATCAATCATTAGTTAGAGCCATTATATGCTCAGGCCTTTTTCCTGGCATTGCATCTGTAGTGGTATGTGTGCTTAATGCTTATTTATTTAATTTACAATTTACAATACAATTGATAGATAGATGAATCCATATGTTACTCAGTTTTGTTCTTTTTTATTTTTAATATGTGCAGCATAGGGAGACATCAATGTCCTTTAAAACTATGGATGATGGTCAAGTCTTACTCTATGCAATAAGTATTAAAGAAATAGCAATGCACTTTTATTCATTCGTTTCATATTTTTTTCATAGAATGATTGGCTCCTATTTGTTTTTTGATATTTATACGCAATTTTTTTCTTAGGTCGGTGGTGGCGAAGTTCAATACCATGGTGAGGTTGCAAGGCTTAAAGTTGCCATGAAGATTGTCATAGGATAAATTACTCACGGGTTCCTTTTAATGTTGTACATGTTTTGCTTTTCTGTAATAAATATTATGCAATATTAGCAATGTATTACATTTACTTACTATTGGAATGATAATTTGTATTTGACATATTAGTGCAATGAATTATTTTTCTTATTTATTGTATTTTATTTTGTATTATAAGACTTTTAATGTGTTATTTTATTTGAAAATTACTAAATCTATCAAAATATATAATTTTCAAAACATTTAAAATTATGACACGCAAAAATGTCTGTCGTCTTTCTTTATGACAAGGGCTTTAATGATACGCAATGCGTGTCTTAAACGCGTGTCGTAAAGTTACGACACGCAAATGCGTGTCATCTTCCTTTATGACAGGGCCTTCCTTGACACGCAATGCGTGTCGTAAACGCGTGTCATAAATGCGTGTCGTAATTGCATGTCGTAAATGCGCGTCGTAAATAGACGACGCGCAAAAGCATGTCGTCTCTCTTTATGACAGGGCCTTCCTTGACACGCATTTGCGTGTCGTCTGAGCATTTTACGACACACATTGCGCGTCGTAAAAGGCTGTTTTTCTAGTAGTGCGGAACCAAATCGATAAGAAACCTCTCCCCAAACATATTCAAAACACTTCTCTGAAATACCCTCGCAACACTCATGGTGCGGTCATCCGCAATCTCTACCTCGAGTGGGGAATCCAAATTCCCCGGAGCATCTCGAAACTTCTTACTGAGCGCAAGAGATACAAATAATCGGGTAGCCCCCGAATAAAAAAGAATCTGAGCCGACAAACCATTGACCAGAAAGGTCCCTATATAAAATCATAACAGCGTGAGCATACTAATAAAATAAACAAGATAGAAATAGATCACATACCAGTCACGACGTCTGGCGCTGCTCGGGCCTCCCAAGTAGTCAACTGAAATGCGCGGCTCTTCACGACAGGAGCTTCTGCCTTATTTGGGCGGCCATCAATAATCCTCATCGTGGCGGGCGCAGGCGCGGCCACTGCTCCTCCTCCTCTAACCAACCTCGGACAATCGGCCTTTTTATGACCCGCCTGGTTGTAGTGGAAACAAATCAAGCCCTTCTCGGGGCAATCCCAGATCATGTGGCCCGGCTGACGACATGCATAACATGCCGAGCCTGCAGCTCGACAAGATCCACTGTGCGGCTTATCGCACTTGGCACATCGGCCACGGCCCTGCTCGCCCCTTCTGGGAGGATCGGAGGTCTTACGCTTCTTAGTCTGACCCACAGGTGCCTGAACCTGCTCCAGCTTCCACTTCGTGCGGAGCGTAAACTTAATATCCCGTTCCCGAGCCTTCTCCACCATGTCATTCAGGGTCTTGCACCCCGAAAAGTTCACAAACTCTCAGATGTCATCCCTCAGCGTGGAATGATACCTCGTCTTCTTCATCTTCTCATCCACAGCGAACTGTAGGACCAATAATGCCCTGTCCCTAAACTTGGCGGTGATCTCCGCCACCATCTCGGTAGTCTTCTGTAAATCCTGGAACTCTCTCACCAGACGTTACACCTCAATGGACGGTGCAAACTCCTAATCAAACCTCCTCACAAAATCCTTCCAAGACATCTCAGCCACACCTGTTGATCCCACCTCGCGGCTAACGTTCTTCTACCAGTCTCGTGCTCGATCCTACAACATACAAGATGCAAACACCACATTTTTCGCTTTGGGGAAAAAGCTCGTGCACTGGGCATTCTCCATGTCTGCCACGCATATCGACTAGTGATGGGATTCCTGAACCCGAAGAACTTAGGCGCTCCACACACCTTAAACTCCCTGAACAAGGGAGCTCGGGCCCCAATCTGGCCTGCATCAATCTCGACTCGGAAAGACCTGAGCTGCTCCTCCATGATCTCCATGATGACCTCCTGGACGGTACCAAAGATCACCAGGGTAGCGTCAAGCATGCCACGAGTAACCTCGGCTGCGATAAGATCGTGCAGCCTCTCGTCAATGGGCTCCGCACCAGAGCCTGAACATGAACCTCACATGATCATCACTATCCTCAACTGAAAATATCATAAATAATAATGATAAGGAATTCGAAAAGGGATTCCTCCTCGCCGGACCCCTAAGAGCTATCAGATCTGTCATTGATTTAGGTAACAGGTCCTATGCTTTTAGTAGTACGGGCCCAATACTACCTTCCTCACCTACCAGTACCTTCCCAAAGGCCATACCTGATATCCCTAAATCATCCAACCACAAATCATGACCCATAAACACAACACTAACTCAGACCCTAAACTATTCTAGGATTCTCAATCCTCATCAAACCAGAAACTCAAATCAATCATGGCAGGTTTCCCTATGCATGCAAGTTATACACAAAGAGAATAATATAGACTGTCAAATAAAGCTTCTACCCTAAGCCACAACCAGACAAGGAACATGAATAAGGTAGATTTCCTCATTCTAGGGCTATACAATCCTAAGCATGTACAACTTTGAAAACATACAGTTAGCAAATAATCCATTCAACATCAATTTCCATATCTACTATGGCTAAAACATTGGGAACACTTACCTAAGCTCGACCGATTACGCGCTTTGCACTCTCCCATTTTTCTTACAAAAATCATTTTCCGGAAAATTTTTAAATTTTGGTTTCTTTTTGAATTTTTTTTTACCATTTTCTCAGTTTGAGTTCTGACACACACCAAGAGTGTGCCCAAATCTCTCAAACCAAGGCTCTAATACCAACTTGTAACAACCCAAAATTTACAAAAAATTTTAACTTTTATAATCATAAATACCAACCACAAATGCTTCTAGAAAATCCCATTACATGACCATAGTGTTTTAAAATATTAGAGTATCAAAACTAAATATGAAAACACTAGAGAATGCACGTCGCGCCATCAAGCCAGGCCCTTGCCCTTAGAACTAGAAGTACCTGAAACATCCAACAAAACTATAAGCACACGCTTAGTGAGTTTCTCAATACATATAATCACATAATTCCATGCACACATACATATAAAATTTGCCATGGACTCCCTCCATGGTCTTCATTTGGAATGCCATGGGCTACCCCCATGGTCTTGTATCCCTGAGCCATGACTCCTCCCATGGTCTTCAGATAAGTTCACACATATATCAAATAGAAAACCATTGCATACTCCATTACTAATCATATCATATCAATTAATGGGACGATCTTGGTGCCTTCGACCCATGAGTGTAGTGAGAAGTCTCACCTTGAATACTGAACAATAGCTGACTAGGTCCCGGCTCCGAATATCAGCTCTACTCAACCGCTAAACAGAAGCAATTCCTTAAATACAACTCAAAATGCCCCCAAAACCCCTTATAGGTCAAACTTGGTCAAAGACTAAAGTCAAAGGTCAAAGTCAACGGCCCGTGTTGACCCAACACGCCGAGTTGTCCTTCAACTCGCCGTGTTTCTCCATCAACGACAAAGATCGGGAAAAATCTTATCAACTCGCCGAGTTCAGTAATGAACTCGTCGAGTTAGCCAGAAATCCAACAACTTAATGCATTAAGCTGTTTCCAACGAATCTAGGAGCTACAACTCTGAGATTTCCTCCAAAATGATGTCCAGAAGGGTAAAGTTTCCAACTTTAGCCTTAGGTACCACCAAAATGATGTCAAACCCGAACCCTAGACTCATTAGAGTGATGCTTGACCCATTAAGCCCTTAAACTCCAAAGACATAGTCCAAAAATACAGATCTGGCATCCAAAGGCTGGAAAACCACGTAAAGTTTCCAACTTTACGTCCATGCATTCTAAAAAGAAGCCCTAGGGCTCAAGATGGGCTAATAAAGGGCTTATTGCATGAATGGGACCTAGATCCTAGTAAAGCTTGTAATTTAAGCCAAATGAGGCCATAAAATGGTCATATCTAACATAACAACCCCTGGAACACTCAACTTCTTGGACAACCCAACCATGAGCCCAAAATCAAGATAAAACCCCAAAACAAAGAGGCAATAACAAAGCAATGTATAAAGTTGATACCTCCAAGAGACTACAACAACTGGGGAGATTTTGGATCTAAGTCTTCCCTCCAAGCTATACACCTCCAAATTCAAAGCCTCTTCAAAAGAGTATAAAAAGATCAACACTCAAGGCCCTCCACAAGCTCATACACTCACAAAGGAAGATGATACACACTTTTAGGGATTCTGGACAGATGAGGCTGGTAAGAAGGACAACCAAGGGACTTAAGGCCTTTAAATAGGGTGCAACACCCTAAAAGTTAGGGTTTCCTTCGCAGCTGCCAACACGTCGAGTTAAGGCACCTCGACTCGCCGTGTTGGGTCATTAATCTATGCGGCCAAATACATCTCTACACGCCATGTTGAAGTTTTCAACACGCCGAGTCCCATAGAAAATATAAACAATTTGGAGGAATAAGCTCATACCGGATCCTAGAGTTACAAATCTCCCCCACTTGAATCAGACTTCGTCATCGAAATCCTTAGCCTCGAACAATCTTGGGTAATGCTCCCTCATCTCCTCCTCGTGCTCCCACGTCCATTCGGAGCCCTTCCGGTGCTGCCATTGCACCTTTACTAGCTTCACTTCTTTATTCCGTTGGGCTTTTGTTTTTCTATCCAAAACTGCAATGGGCTTCTCCACATAGTTCAAGCTCCCATCCACCTGAATATCGTCCAAAGAAATGACTGCGGCCTTATCAACAACACACTTCCGAAGTTGAGACACGTGAAAGGTGTTGTGGATCTGGCTGAGCTCATCCGATAGATCCAACTGATACGCAGCCATGCCAACTCGGGCAAAAATCATGAATGGTCTAATGTATCGGGGCCCCAACTTACCCTTCTTCCGAAACCGAATGACACCCTTCCAAGGTGAAACCTTTAGAAACACAAAATCACCCACTTGGAAGTCAAGATCTAATCGACGCCGGTCATCGTAGCTCTTCTAGCGGCTCTACACAACCCTCAGCCTATCACGTACCTGTTGAATCATCTCAGCGGTCTTAAGCA